CCCCCCCCCCCCCCCCCCCCCCCTTAATGGAATTTACTCGATACAATTTAAGATTCTGTTTTCGAGATAATGCTCTGTACTGCACTTATGACACACAAGCAAGTTTCTGCGCGCGCGCATACATTTTTTTTTTTATATTTATAGTGCTTGCACCCGTTAGGGCAGTGCACTTACTTTAATCTTAATATTATTTAAAAATTGCAGAAAAACTTTACAGATGTGCAAATTATGGACAAGTATAACAAAAAGTGCAACAATTCAATGAGCTAAGAAAAGGAGAAACGGTTGGTTCTTGTTACACTTTGATCCCACACTCGTCGAAGAAGCTGCTAATGATCTGACAGGCCCAGATGTTCGGCCGCGCCAGCAAGCTTTCCACGTTGTACGGGGGAAACAGTTTGATCTTAATTAGCTCCCTGATCATTTTCTTTCTCTGAGCCTCTGGTAGTACGCAGTTCCACAGGACGTGATTGAGGCTCTCCTCCTCACGGCCACACCTGCAGCGGGGGTCCGAGATTATGTTTTTCCTCTCCAAAGACTCCGCGAGACTGGTATGTGGTTAGCCCTCATCCTGTTCACCCTCGTGATAGTCCGCCGGGGGAGCTTGGACTCCCTGAACCACGGCGCCGCGCTCTCGCTATGGTAAAAGTCGAAGTAGGTCTTGCCTTTCGATTGAATACATGCGCATACATGCGTAGAAACTTGTCGAGATTCCAATATGGTTTGTAGAAAAATGATTCTGCGGCACCTTGTTAACAAAATAGTTTTTGACCGTATCACGGAACTTCCTTACGTAGGCAGTTTATTCTCATTGCAGTTCTATGCGTGCAATCTTTCGTGGGAGTCGCGAAACTCGCCGAATCCATGGATCTGCTCTATAGGACGCCAATTGAACTTAGCGTAGTTCAATTTTCTATTGGTAAACAAGAGTTTGAAATATGGTTTAGTGGCCGGCTTAAATAAGATTAAGCTCTTTCTAGCGTTCTAATGGGAAATAAACAATTTCTGCTTGACGTTGATGGTCTCATACTGTATAAAAAAATGCAATGACCTACAAACATTATCAACAAAGGAATACTCTTAACGACAGTTTCTTGTTAATCACCATTGAGGGCCATCACAAAAATCAAGCAGAATCTAACAATATAGGTGATTCATCAAAGTGACTTTGACATGACTCTTATTGATTATCGAGCAATGAGCAATGTAACTAGGTAGCAACTCGCATGCACACCGAATCAGATGAGGATCGAAAGTCGTATCTTAACTAATACAGCAACAGAACAGCAAGACTGATGAACAGGCTAAGTTTTCAGCTCCATATGTATGCGAGTTCACTCTTGAGTGTTAGTTTAAGGAAAATAAACTTTTCTTAATTTCGTACAGCTTCATATATGAGTTGAAATTTTTTACGTCCTTCTTAGCAAACAACAAATTCACGAATTTGTTCATGAGATAGTTGAAAAGTCGTGACAGGGCAACAAGTCTAAATTTTTGCCTTCGCTAAAATTACCACCTTTATGAACGTACTATAAGACTTATAGTTTTCTTGTAATCGCTCATTCAAAATTTAATTTCAATTTTTTTTATGTTTTCTCTGAGCTCATTCCTGCCCAGCGGAATAATTAATCTCAATTTAAACAATAGTTTTAGAACCTCCAAGCCTTTCTCTACAACTGCCATGAACATTTCCTATCTCCAAAATGCATTGTACTAGCTGAAAAAGTGATTCGTAACTCGAGCGTTTGCGAATATTTGCACCTAATCGAGCGCGCCGCGGAAAAAGTTACCCCCACTTCTCTCGACTTCGCTCGATTAGGTTGTTTACTCGTTCGCTGGTTTTTCAAAACGGGACGAATTGAATCTTGGCATCGAGCCTCCTTATAGACTTTCAAGTAAAGCAATGTAAAAAGGCCCTGCCTTAAATGTTTAGGAAAAAAAGCTTGAGGCTAAATATAGAAACGACTTCAGATTTTCTACCGGTATAGTCGTTTACGAAAACAGCCCTACCAAAAGGCGCGATCCAGCCGCCGACTTTTCGCGCTGTGTTTGTGTGTGAATAGCAGGTCGCATTCAAACTGTCCGTTGAGCAGTATCGAGCTCGGACACTGCGTTATATTTCAAGTGTGCGATAATGCGCCAACCGACCAAGTTCAACTTTCGCATTTAGAACTCGGTTTAAAATGTCGTCAGTGGCGTGTAATGATCGCGTGATTACTTGTGTTTCTTCTGCGGGAGTGCATCCATCCATTCTAGCCACCGCAGACAGCAAAAGATATGTAGCCGCCGCGACAAAAATTTTTGCTCCCACCTATTCCTAGGGTATAACATTTTTTTTAGTGCAGGATTCACTTATTACAATATTTTCTTTTTTCTATAATTTTTTGGTAATATGTGAAGTATTTTAGAATTGTGTAAAGATAGATGCGGAGATCAAATGTTCGCTATGCCAAAAAAACATCATCTCGAGATAAACGCGTTGAAAGTTTTGAGCTACCGTCGAATGTCGTGTGTACGACTGTGTACTCAATCTTGATTTCGACTGATAAACAATCTAAAGAAGCAATAATAATAAAAAAGATATATCAAAATAATAATCATTACAATTGTATCATTGAAGAAATCAAATTATTCATTTTATGTCTAAAGAACAATGGTAAAAATTTTTCTATCGATGATGCATTATAACGAGAAAATGAAAAATTAACAAAAAATGCGGCATAGTGAATGATCTAGTCAGAATACCAATGTAGTCCGGCTGCTATTAGATCGGCGCGTAATACGAAAGCACTGGGACCGTTATAGGAGTATAGAATCAGAAGATTTGGAGAAATGATGAGATTGAAATTAACTCAAGATCTCATCTAATCTCTGTCTCTACGTAGATACTGACGTTCTACGCATACGCTTGAATTGTACAAATTAAAAAATATTTCGAAAAGCTGTATTTTTTTTAAGATAGAAAATTTTTATTTAGTTTTGAAAATTATAAGTGTTGCACAAATATTAATTAATGTGGACTTTAAGATGCATCTCGAGTATTTCTTTCTCCATTAATGTATCGCATGTCTAGTTGATGGCTTTATTACACTGCATTTATGTGGCTTTTGAAGTAGCCTTTATTTTTTATTTTTTTCGCGTTAATGTCACATCCACGTGTAACACTAATTTTATCAGATTACTCGTGATAGAAACATTTTTTACTCATGCATCGCATGTGTTGGTGATATTACCATTAGCTGCATTAATATGAACTTTGAGATATCTCATTCTCATGTATTTATTTCCGCATATGTTACACGTATGTTTGATGTCATTGTGTGTCGATTTAATGTAGATTTTAAGATCACCCTTTTGAGTAAATGCTTTACCGCATACATCGCATGCATATGTGACACCATTATGCACTCCATTGATATGTTTGTTAAGATTATATTTTTATGAGAATATCTTTCCGCATATATCACATGTACTTTTGATACCATTATGTACCGTTTGTTTTGAATGTCTTTCCGCATGCGCCCCATCAATGTGTATTTTGATACTTATCTTATATGAAAATTTCTTGCCGCAAATATCACATGCATGTTTGGTACCATAGTGTATCGAATCGATGTGGTATTTGAGATTAGCCTTATCTTGAGAAGTTCTTTTTGCATATTTGACATGCGTGGATTGCATTATTACGTACTGCACCTATGTACTTTTTGAGATTATGTTCTTTGTTGAACTTTTTTGTGATTCTTCTTTTTTTATTTTGTTCCACAAATTCACAGTCTAAATTCAAATTCGGAATGCAACTGCACGAGAAAACTGTCGAAGAGCATATGAAGCTAACCTGGTTCTCTAGTTTTCTTCGTGCATGGAACTCATGAGTTCGCGGAATATTGCCCAGCACGAGATATTTTGCCGCTAAGCGAAGGTCTTCTCGTGCATAGCATAAATTTAAATTTGATTTAAATTTGAAGTTTTTTCTATCAATGGTATATTGTAACGGAAAAATGAAAAATTAACAAAACATGATTCTACGGCATGGTGAATGAGCTAGTACGAATAATTTCGTGATAATATTTTATGCAACGTGCGCTACGTGAAGTGTGTAATGCAATGTGCACTACAAGATCGGTACACAAATACGAGCTTTGGGGCATTTATGAATATAGAATTAGATGTAAGCAAAAATAGTAATATTTTTTGTTTCTGGTTGATTTTTTTATTTTTTATTTTTTCCATTACGAACAATGACATCTAATTCATCTTGTTCAGCAAACTATTTTTGTTGGTCAATAATTTGAATGTTCTGACTCCCAAGTTCTATATCTTTTACCGGTTCCGGTACCACCGGCATTCTTTTTTCCATGCACACTTCCCAGTCGCAGTGCTCGGGATAATCTGAAAATTTTAATTTTAAGATATTATAAATTGTAAAGCGGGTATTAAAAATTGATGGTTACGTATCAATCTTACCTTTTCTGCACTGGTAATAAGTTTTAGCAAAAACATCCACGTAGGGAAAATCGCTGGCTGCAATTCTCTCTTTGAAAAGCTCCTCAAGAACTGGCACATTCAGCGAGTTGTCATTAAGAATCTGTCAAGAAGATGAGTAATTTTACTTTATTTTTTGCTTCATTAATTTCAAAGTGTCATATGTAAGATGTATAACTACACTTACCACTCCATCGATTTGTAACTTGCAAGCAAACGTGCACGACAACACTTGCGTCACGTTGTGATCGATGTTCATATCATCTAAATTAAATGCAACCGATTTTTATGATAATGTACGAAAAATATAATGAAAAGAGCGATAGACACTTACGTGGATCCTTGCCGTATTTGTCCAACATGCATTCATCCATTAATACCTTTCCTTCGGTTTCTGATGGTATGGATTTTCTCGCTGAAACGGTGACAAAAAACAAAGCAAAGATGACGATCAAACCCTTCATGTTGTATAAAATCGGTTTGGCATTCGAATGATGATTGAACAATACTACTGTCGATGAGAGCTTGGCTTGGCGCATTTTTATACGTAAAAGAAAAAAAATTATCGCTCGCTTAGCTGGTAATAGCTGCCGAAATATTTGTTGAATTCAATTAATCGATGATTTTTACATAGTGTTTGCACCAGATTTCATTGTGTACATGAGAGATCATTGATGCGAAGTATTGACTACGAGTCAATACTACGAGGCATTAGTATTGACTCGTAGTCAATACGAGTGCAAACAAACGAATGAAGGAGTGCCGGCTATGCCGGCACGAGTGGCTCATGTTTTGCGCACACTGTGCAAATTCTAAAATACACTCGGCAAAAAAATTATCGCAACAAAAAAATTCATCGAAATTCCGTCGATTTTCAAATGCTTCTATCTTGGACTAGATTTATCGAATCGACACGCTTTTTTTTTAATTTCTTGGAAAATTTGTCTTCTTCAAATCCATATATATTAAGATAAGATTAGAGTTAATGTTGAGTTACCAGTAGTTTTGAAGATACCATTTAAAGTACGTAAAATCCCCCGTTTAGCTGAAATTAAGACGATTTTCTGGGCATTTTGCGTACACAAATCGTACCTTCAATTCGACCTACAGGACGTTAAAAAAATCGTAGAGAGGTCCTTTTTTTTAAATTATTCGTTGAAAAGAGTACTTTGCGATGGTGTATGTTAGATTTCGATAGAAAAATTACTGTGGTACTGGTACACGTTCAAATAGTCATTTTTTTCAGTAATTTTTAGTGTCGCGCTCAAATACTACTGGTAACCCAACATTAACTCGAATCTTATCTTAATATATATGGATTTAAAGAGGATAAAATTTCCAAGAAATTAAAAAAAAAGCTTGTCGATACGATAAATCTAGCCCAAGATAAAAGCATTTGAAAATCGACAAAATTTCGATGAATTTTTATGTTGCGATAATTTTGTTGCCGAGTGTATAATGACTTTTTAGAATATATTCTGGATCAAGTTTAGAAAAGATTTATTGGAGTATTGCGTCACTGGATGTTGGATAGTCAGAAGGGTGCAATATTAATTAAAATGCGTATTAGCAGAGTTAATTGTTAAATTATGTTCACTTTATTAATGTATCGCGGCTCGCTATCGCTTACACTTGTTCGCACGCGTTGACTCTAGGTCGGTCAAAGTTAATCTGTCGAGCGGCGACCAGCACGTCGCCGGCACACATGCGGAGCAGATCCCAGCGCGGTGGGGGAAGACATGCCACGGCTGCTGCCGCGAGAAGGCCTAGGCAGGCTGCGCACACATACCACTGCACACATACACACACACAGGCGGAACACGTATGTCCGCCGAGCCCGAGCCGAGATGTCGCGTCTACACGCTGGTGAGGCGCGCGCGCACACACACACACACACATACGCAAGCACGATAGCCTGTGGTCGCCACAGGAGCTTATTTAAATTTGCATAATTACACAAAATAATTGTATAATAATATGTTTATCATGATGATATATTTTTTTTATAACGATTTGTTTCGCGAATTACTTCTTATAAATAATTTATTGCTTTATGAATGTGTCGAGGTCATTGCAGTCATATGCTTGGAATATTTCCTCTGGAAATTGCATATTATATCTCATACGTTTTTTTTCTTGACAATTGTAAATATATATCAAAACTTGCTTATCAAAAGATCCTTAAATTGCCTCATGCCTCACAGCGCGTTATATTATATTATATTTGTTCATTACAATTCATCGGACTCATTTTTTATTTCAAAGCAACTTTCGTACAGCACTGCTGTTCGAAACCCTCGGATAACTTCAGTAATACAGATTCACCGTTGCCGTTTTCGTCTCGAGACACCGTTCTTCCTTACAAATCTCTCGCTCAATTCCTACTTAGCTCCCAAAAATGGAAATGAATAGTCGAGCGATTTTGTTTGAATAGCAGTGAAGATAGGTGGTCATTGATTTGTGACCTAGATTCTTCTTCTGGATTCACGGCCCCGGTCGGCCACGCATGTCCCTTTGTCGTCGGTCCGTCCGTCGCGAATCCGTCGGCTCGAGGTGCCTGTATATCAAATAATAAGGAACTCGGGCTCATGCATGCAAATAACCGTTGACACATCGATTCAATTAATATAAGGCGATTTATTTATCGCTGTACTACAATATACATATCGGCCCGAGGACACTGGGTCGTTGGCACGCTCGCGCGGCGACACGCCGAGCGCGAGGCTCAGAGGGGAACACATATACACCGGAGCTCGTGGCCCGACTCACCACTCGTAGTGCTCGATGTAGACGTTGTTGGTTGTCCTGCTGATGTTCCTCTCCTCCTGCAACACAATCAAATGTCGTGAGCCCGGGTGCCTCGTCGTCTCCTCGAATGGTGGGACGATGATCGGCTTTCTCTCTCTCGTCCGGCCGTCGAGACACACACATACACTCTCCGCGCACTCGAGCTCTCGTCGAGTTAGCCACACTCCTCACTCAGAGAGCTTAGGGTGACTACACCCGTGGTACTCGACGAAGAGTCGACCTAGACATCCAGAGAGTCACCCTGGACGCCGCACACACACACTCACTTACTCGGATCAATTTCGCACACACACGATCGCGATCAATCGATCTCGCCAGTTCGTTGGCAACTGACTTGTCGTTACTTATACGTCGTGTTGACAAGCTGCCAAACGTCCTTTCTCTTCTCATCGTTGCTCACATGAAAATATAAATACCGCGATCAAATGATTTACTATATTCAAATTATATTATTATTGGCCGACGACAACGACTACGCAGAGGCTCGCCGGGCAACCGAGCATCTGATGCACTTCCTGCATCACA